AATATTAATAATGATAATACTAGAATGTAACTTCATGACCTGTGATCTTTTGTCTTGTGACTTTCTGTCAGTTTACAAGATCATGGCCCATAAAATGGCATTTTCTTTCAACCAGATGCTTGACAGCATTAGTGTGATTGGAATAAAGTCATGATGCAGAAATGGTCCATTTTTATTCATGAATATTTGGGAATTTACAGTTTTTATATTCCTCAGTAACTGAAATTCAGCTTGTGAAGACAGCAACCACCAAAGTTTTTAAAATTTAGAATTCTGTAATTTTTGCTGAAGTCTGAATAAAGTTACAGATGTCATTGATGAAAGACTTGTTTCCAAAAATTTACAAGATATGGAACCAGGCCTGCAATAATTAATAGTTGATTTTGAGTTTTGTAAGGGAAGTATTTCAGATTAAACAGGTTATCATCTCTCTCTCTCTCTCTCTACAAATAAATTATGTCCAATTGTTTTATTTAATTTCTATGTTTATTTGCCACTTGCCCCATGTGCCTTTTATGGAACCTAATTTGTGCACAAACATCAGCATGATAGTTATATATGACCTTATGACAGCCTGCCAGTACTATCTGGGAACTGGTGATTAACAACTGCGCTGACCCATTCCCAGTGGCACTTCCTTTTCATTTTGATGTCAATTTCCCAAATTATTAAGATGTTACACTTTTGGGAGTTTCTTAAATTTGTTATTTCTTGCATTTTATTACACACCTTCTGCTGAATTTTTGCCCCAAAAATTGTCTTGCAGAACATTTCTTATTATGGTGCTTATATGTTTTTTTTCCAGATTAACATGACACATTGCTAGGTTGAAAAATTGGATTTGGCATACTGTTATGAATGAACCATTTACATACTTTTCAGGCAGCCATTATTAGGTTTTAGCCTCATTAACTATAAAAATATAAAAGCTGATCTTGTTATTTCTAGCAACCAGGTGCTGTACTATCAGTGTATGCTTCATTAGCAGTATAAATGGAACATTCTAGAATTTAATAGTTTGACAGTCTGTAAATGGTATAGCCTTGTTCATGTAGGTCTTTTTTCTGGAGCAAGATTGATCTGAAGTAAAAATTACTGATACATTTCATGAATGTGCAGAAAAATTGGCAATGTTTCAAATGACAGCCTGGTTCTAATGTTTATTGCATCAGCCAAATAAATATATCCAAGTCCTTTGGATCATTGATAAGAATTATCATGTTTTAAGACATTAATCTGACAAAATGCTTCATTTATAGCTAAGATCTCCCAGTTAGATGCATAGCCTCAGAATCAAGTTAAAAAAACAAGGTATTTGGCCATGATTTGCTAATAATGTTATAGGGCATCATAGGGGTCCCTGTTAAATTAATGCAGACCAAATGTTCCAAATTTGTCAGAATGATTTAACTTGAGATAGCTTTTGGAGTATATGTGTTAACAAAATACTGAAATGTATATTTCTGAATGATTTATGTATTGCAGATTTTGCTGAGGAGTTTTGGATAGTTTGGTACATGTCCACAAATGTGCTATGCATGTATTTACTAATAATTATGTAGTATTTCTCTTTTATTCAGTAAGTATTGAAGAGAGTGTTCAGGATGTATATCTCTAATACCACTTCATGTATTTTTTATTTAGTTTGTTGTTGTTGTTGTTGTTGGGCTTAATGCCATTTTTCAGCACAATATAGGCTATTCATGGCGGCCAGTATTAATGGTGGAGGAAGAAACCGGGAAATCACCGGAAAGAACCACCGACCCAACCACCGACCCCCAACCACCGACCCACGAGAAGCTACTGGCAAGCTTTCTCACATATCTACATTAGCCGAATCCTAGACTCGAACACACGCAGACAGAGGTGAGATGGCAGTGATCCGTAACGGACAGTGCTTTAGACCACTCGGCCACTCGGGGCCCCCTATTTAGTTTGTAGTCTTAGGCAAATATTCATTGTATTTAAATTGTGGTGCTGTTTTGGTTATAAGACTTAAGACTATATTTAATTATATTCATAAATAGAAGTTGCAAAATAAATTAGGTAAAATTTTATCTTTTTAAAATTGAAAATAATATATTCATTTATTGTGTATCATACATTGTGTATATAACTAAAACAGGATGAGAGGTCCTTTTTCCAGAGATTTTGGTTCTTAGTTTGTGCTTAATATTTTTTTTTGTCTTTAGCATATTTGGAAATACAGTCAATTTATTATTTTACCAGGTGGCAAGTTCTGCAAAGAACTAATTATTAGCAATATAATATACTTATTTTGTGAATATTTTTGCTGTTCTATTTTCTTTGTGAAATTCTTTAAGGATTTGTACATGCAAATTTTTTAATGTACAGTACATGTACTTGCAGAAGAAATTTCGTTTTTAACCAGTTTGAAACATAATGTATTTTTCATTCTGGGATAACATTTTTAAACTTACTGACCTCTAGGACCTGGATTCTTTTGAAATTTCTATTTTCCAAATTTAGTTTCAATAAATGTCTCTTATAGATATCATTAGTTGTCATAGTAAATCTTAAATATGTCATTGGTTCTGACCTAATAAACTAGGCATCAACACTGAGTGCTGACCTTGGAGAAAAGATAGAAAAAGTGTTAAGAATTAAGTTAGAAAGATCCTGTAATCATGAACGAGGTAAGATTTGTTCACATTTATTAAACATTGGAAAATTCCAATTGGTGTTGGTTTTAATGCTTTCTTTAACTTTGTTGAAGGTTTCAATGTTTTAAATTCATGAGGTTGCAAGGAAAGAAAAACAAATTTTTCCAGGACTGAGACTTTTAAATGATGACCTTGAATGATTTATATAGTGAAACCACTTAAGAATCATGATATCTTGCAATAAAATGGAAGTGGCATGCTGAAAAAAAAAATGCAATTTTAGCCACAAATATACCCTTTTGGACGATAATTACAAAAAGCCCATGCATTGCTCAATGTAATAAAATATATTTTATCAAGTGGTATTGAAGACTAATTATGACATAATGTAAAAACAAAGTTGGACCATAAATGTACTCTACTCTATATTAAAAGTAAACATATTTGTTCTTCATTGTTCGTCAGAAGATCATACAAGGACCCACTGAAAATAGAGTATTTAATCAAGAAATATTTTTAAAAATTTGTCACCATGTCATATGCTTTTATGTTCATATGCTAATGAAGTGGAGATTCATGAATATAAATCAAAGTTTTGAAATCAGTTTATCTTTGGAATGATTGATTCTGTTAAATAAATAAGTAAAAAATATTCAATTTATGTATTTCTGTTCCCTACTGGAAATGCGCATTTTACAATGGAATTCGATTGGATAAGCTTATCTTTTACTCCTGTAGTGATATCAATATTTATATCCTTGTGTTTAGATGTGAGATGAATAAGTACTTTTTGCAAACTATTTTTTTGTATCAAAATTTATGATTTGCAGTCTTACAAAGGAGTATATATACTTAACACATTATCATATGCCAATAAACAAATTTCTTAAATCCAGAAGTTTTCCAAAAGTTGGATTTGGCCCTAACATTTTACAATATTCCATATGGCCACCATGTTGGTAAATGTTACATGTATTCAAAGATGTGATTAAAGGCTCATAAATATATTTATATTTTTAAGATTCATATTTGTCACAAATTCAGCCATTTTGTAAAAATAAAGTTGTATAAGTTTACTATAGAATTTCTGTACATTCCTTACTGATTGAAACTACTCAAGTACCAGTACAGTAAAATAGTACCATGGTACATACCACTGGAAATAAATACCATGGTAAAGCATAGCAGTAATATTGCACACCTCTACCCATGATACACACCTGTTTACAGTGAACTAAAAATTTTAGTAAATAACTCAAACTGAATATACTCAAGTGAAACTCATTATTCTAGAAAGACCTTTTGCCTCAAGGCCTAAACACTATATATGGCCTTAATGATTAGAGCATCAAATCAGATGCAGTCAGTCATGTTCGAACCCTGGCCAAGTCATCCCAAAGTCTTATAAAAATGATACTAAAAATTATATTATTAGCTGCCTTGCATGGTGCTCAGCATTAAGAAGTTAGTGCTAGAACTGGTTGGCCTGGTGTCAGGATAATGTGACTGGGTGAGACCTGATATTAAATGTCTGCAGCATAATGCCCTAAAGTTAGACATTAATATATGCTGTCACAGCAGACATCGAAGCAATATAACTAAAAACTTGTCAAAGGTATGATAACAATCTAAATCACACACACACACACACACCATATATATATATATATATATATATATATATATATATATATATATATATATATATATATATGCTCATCTTTTTTCTCCATTAACTTTACATTGTCAGAAACGTGCAATATTCCTCGATATTGAACACCTTCATATTGCACCCCTATGCAAAGGAACTATTTTCTAACATAAACAATTTTTTTTATGAATGTAGCAGATATTTCATGGACAGTCACATTCCGCATTTACTTTTTTGATACAATGTTTCAGATTTAGCTAGATATAGATGCTATACAGGGTCCTCATAAAAAAATGCAAGTTGTGAATTTTAATATTTAATCTTTGGTAATGAAACAGGAATGAGCATATAATAAAAAGGTTACTGCATTTGAATGGAAAAATATGAACTCATTTTTTCAGATGGATATACTGCACTCCCAAGGTCGTGCAGTATAGCTATCTGAACAACTTGTTTTCCCATACAAATGCAGTAACCTATATATATTTACTTAAAGTAAAACAAAGAAACACACCCCCACTGACATTCACAAACAGTTATATCGGGCATGAGTATGGAAATCCAAACTGGTAAACACTGCAACAGTTATATACATTTATGCACTTAACCATTTAAATTTTCAGGGTGGTGGGTGTAAATGGGATTTTCTATTGAACCAAGATTAGTGGCTTTGAGGTGCCAGGGGCAGTGTTCTTTAGTAGTGCCACTATATTGCTACAGAGAACAACCACATCGGTGGCTTAGTGTTTAGAACGTCCACCTCAGATGCGGGAGGGCGTGGGCTTGATCCCCAGTCGAGTCATAATCAAAGACTTACAAAAAATGGTACTAACAGCTGCCTTGCTTGACGCTCAGCATTAAGAGGCTAGTGTTAGGACTGGTCGGCCTGGTGTCCCTGGGTGGGACATCATGCTACATGTCTGCGGCATGATGCTCCAGTGCTAGACATCACTATAAACTGCCACACTGCAGACATTGTAGTGATATGACTGAAAAATTGTTAAACCTACATTAAAAATCATAATCAAATTTTAATCACACGTTTTGTGAAGAATTGCTCCCATTACAAAGTTGAAGGTGAAATACTATTAAAATTACATTAAATTTTAGCTGAGAAAAATAAAAGTTATCGTTACCCCCCATTACTGGTGCTGGGTGCAATTGTCACCTCTGCCTTACATTGCCAATGACTACCATATTATATTTTATTTACCTAAAGATAACCTAAACTAAAAAAAATCAAACACTATGACATGTATAACACAAAATATGAATGCAGTATTTACCCAGCTTGGCTATATCCTTTAATAATGATGATTACAATAAAGTATTTCTGCTTGTATTGCTTTTATGGAGGAAAAAGAAATTAGTAACAGCTGTGCTAATTCTGCACAATAGTTCAGTTTTAATGTGAAATGCCTTTGGGGAAGAGGGTAAATCTAAGAGGCAACTAAACAATGCATAAATTACATCAACAGAACCTTGGTTTTAAAGATCAATTTGTTGGACATCATCAGTTTTTCCTTTTCTGAAATGAATGAATGTGTTAAGAACCATATGCACCTTATTCTATCCATTCCAAGTATTTATTGTCTGATATCTGATTATTTGGTCTGTCCTCTTTCATCTACAAGTTTGTTCTTCTCTTTGCTCATTAAATTGTTCATGTTTAGATCCAACGATTCATATTCAGGTTAACCATATCAATCCATTCCATGTCCATCAGCTTATTAAACCTTTTTTTTAATCTGTCCCTATACATTGCATTTGTTCCCCATTCATAACAACCATATGTCTTATCAAAAAAATTCTGCTCATGACTTGATATTTTTTGTTAAAACTGTAATACATCATTTCTTATGATCAATCTTTTAATACATTTATGAAGAAAAAATAGTAATCGGTATAGCAATACCAAGTGAGTAATAGTAATTATGTCCCACTACTCCCAAGGGAAAGTGAGGGGAAAAGGAAGATGTTGTTTTGGATTTAACATGATTTTTGAGTGCATGATAAGCTTTACAAGACATTCAGTATAACTAGTGGAGGTAGAATCTGGCAAAAACCTAGGTAATGAACCATAAGAAGCTACAGGCAAGCTTTCTCACTTGACTGCACTGGCCAAGCTGAACCCTTACAGGTAGAGGTGAGATGGCAGTGATTGGTAAAGGCAAGCACTTTAGACCACTGGGTCACTCTGTTTTTGTTCTGGTTCATATTAACATTCGGGATACATGCAAAATAAATGAAAATGTTGAAACAAATACATGTACTCTAAAACTTACATGGAGATTTCCTTGTGAGAATTCCAAGAATACTAGGTTTTGGTGACCATACCTCCATTTTCAAAGTTATATATGGACTTTAAATATTTTTGTAACATTTCACATACTGCTTAAAAACAGGAAACTGCATAGAAAGTGGAGTCAGTTTTGTTTGATCAGATTTAGAAGAGAATGGTACTATCAAAACAAGATTTGTTGATGGTTCAGTTTTAAGCATAACTAGCACAAATGAATGTTTTAAGAATGGAACTATTTGTATATTTACCACATAACTGCAGTGTTGTTTACTTTAAAATACCCATATTACAATTTTCACATAGGCAACACATCTAATAATACATGATATAACAAAAGAGATGTCTTCCAAAGGAAAGGCATAACAGCCAAAGCATCCAAATGTATTTCAGTCATTTCGCTACACTTTTCTGCAGTGTGGTTCAATAAAGTTTGTTTCTGAACATGTCATAAATAGAATCTTACATCTGTACTTATTTCAAAATGAAATTTATGAAACTTGTCAAAAAATTTCAATATTTTTTCCTCAATGAAAATATAAAAAAAATTATTTGACTTGCTTCATAAATTTCCAATCAAATGAGCACTCAGGTGAGATCCTCTTTACATCACATGAACTTCTAAACTATGCTTATAGTGAAAAATTGAACTGTGTGAAGAGAAATTATCTAATATTGTTTCTCTATCCCAATACATATTTTTTTACAACAGGTGAATTAAACAGCTCTGGCAGTAGATTTGTGTGCAAGACACCAATAATGTGTCTAAAGACAAGGTCAATACAAGTTTTGCATTATATCTGGTTGAGATGTACAAGGCAGATACTATTCATACTGTCAAGCAAAACTGCATGGTAATAATAAGGGACTGAATTAATCAATTAAATACATGTCTAGCTAATGACTGCAGAGTCAGGTAGACTATGATTGCTTCAAGTGTTTAAAAGCTCTTTTGTACATCACATGATAACTTTTCAAGTTCTAATTAACTGATTTGTGCTTCCCCTTTGACACTGGGATGCTCCATATGACTGAGAATTGCATGTTCCAGCAGGCTTTTTTTAGCCATGCATTAACCTTGTCATGTGATGTACTAAATCTAGTATGTAATGCCTTCACCCATACAAAACTTTTCTCCTATTGTGTTGTTTGGTAGAGTATACTACCTTCACTGACAGCTCCCAAGAGAGAAGACAAAAACTGAATGTAGATTTTAAAGTGGGTAAAGTGAATCTGCCCATTTCTCAATGCACTGCATGACAGATATGGCTATCAGTGTCTGGCAATGTAATAGGAACAGCATAAATTTGAACACAAGTCTTTCCAAAATACACACATCTATAAAAGAAAATAAAAATAGATGAATTCCAAAGAATTTTCAATCGCAGTTTGTCATTAAAAACAGTCTATAAATCTGTGCAAATGACACAAATGAAGCTGCAAGACAATTAGAAAGTTGTACTATAGTCTCAGCAGGGGAACAGCAGCATAAATGCATCAACAGTACTGATTTGATTATAACTGGTGACTGCAGTAATGTGAGTGAACACACAAGTCTTTTCACAATACAGTATATCTTTTCACAATACAGTATATAGGAGTTGGTAAGAATTTCATAACCCATCTTTGACATAATAAAGTCTAAATCTGTAACTGATGTGAACAAATCTGTAAAGTAAATAGAAAGTGTTTATCACAGTTTTGCTTAAAAAGTAATTCATTTCAGTAAAAGTATGATTTTAGAAAATTTTGGAAAACCATAAAGTGCCTTTGATCCTAGAAAATTTTGAAGAACCATAAAATGCCTTTAATGTGAAAATAAAATCATCAACTGTATTTTGTGTGCAAAACATTACAAACAAGGTATTAAACATCTGAAAGTGGGAATATCTGGGGTCTGGCAAAATTAGATGAGACTTAGGATGATGAAGTTGATACAAATTTTATTGTTCTACAGAACAATAGTCATAAGCTGTCTGAAATATATGGAATGTCTGATAGGGGAGAACTCAAGGGCTTGAATAGCATAGTTACTGAAATGATTAAACATTTGGACAGAAATGGCACACATTTAACACTGTCTATAACATTTTCCACAGGTATCTGTATATTTCCTAAAGCATGGGGTAAAAGTGTAAATATGCCCATTGTTTATGAAATGTTTGATTTTGAGACAGATTGATAAACTGGACAGAAGAGAAAGCAATTATAGTTTAATTTTGCTGCTTTTGCTTGTTTTAATTGCACTTTTGATGTATTGGTTATATCACAGTGAAGAAACAAGAACTAAGTTCTTTGCAAAAGGATACACAGAAGCTGCCATCAGCCACCCTCAGCTTGCATGGGTTGGTATCCAACCTCTGCATAAATCTTGTTCATTAGGCAAACAGATCTCTCATCAAGATTAGACCATGATAGTGCTGCCATGCAGGTGGTCATACATTCAACATTTTACTCAGGACCAATTATATTGTATGAGTGGTATAGTAAAATTTCATGTCAGTGTTACCATTCCTTTAAGAGGAACAGCGAGAACAAAGATTTTTTAGATGGCCACCGAAGCTGTCATTTCAAATGTTAGTTCAAGATCATTTTAACACAGGTCTTACTGCATATGGGAAGAAGTGTTCTAGTTTTTACAAAAAATGGACTCAGACATTTGTCTCAAGTATTTGTTTAGGAGTTTTTGGAGGGGTAGAGCATGGAACACAATTGGGTTATTTAGTGCTGATGCAACTGGAATAAAATGCCTTGCCCAAGGACACACCATGGACACCAAACTGGACTGACCCAATGGTAGGATTCAAACCTGTACCCTTTCCATTGCATATCCAGTGTGCTAACCACTGCACCACCAGGGTTCTTGTTCAAGAGTGATAGTCAAATAAAGATTTTCAACATAACTACAGTAGCAGTTGTACTGTGGGGTCATATCCACACCATATTTATTCTGGACCAATTAGATATCATTGCCAAGACAGTCTTGAACAAGTAATAAAATGTCTTTAATTGAAAACCCTATTTTGATATGACCATTTTCTGGGATGAGAATGTTCCAAATGCTTCATCAGGGCATGAGACTTCAAATCAACAAGTGTTGCTTCTATTCAAATATGTTTCATGTAAGGAGTTGGATGAAAAATGACTGAGGAACTAGTCTAATTGTGTTGAAATCAAACAAAACATTCAACTCAGTTGGGGCCACCTTTACCCTTGCAAAGTCATGTAAGAATTAATGTGACTAGCTAGAAGCTTAACTGACTGATCAATATGCAGCTGTCCTGGAATGACATCTGAGTTTAAATGGATGAAGGAATCTTAAGTTGTTAGCCAGAAACAATTTTCATAAATATGTGATCTCTGACTCCATATTGATAACTATTCTTTAATTAAGTGTAGTAACCACCTTGGAAATTTGAGAAAAAAAGTTATTGATGTAAACATGACTTGTCACACAGAAACCACAATTCACAATACCATCTCCAGCAACACTGACCTTCAAC